TAGCATTTGCTTTGAATTGTCTATTTGCACCCATTTATTTGATTACAGAATTATTTTTTGTTTGCGAGTTCCATTCTTTCAGCTTGTCTTTTACATAAGGTTAACTTATCAAAGAGATTGCTATCAAAATATCGTCTCACGCAGTTGTATTCAGGTGCAGCAGTGACGCTTAGGTTGACGAGAAATGTTCCGCATGATTGCGCTGCAACTATTCATTGCACTGACCATTGAGTAGAAATAAGATAGGACAAATTAAATGGAACTAAGGCAAGTACGTCGTCGCTGCTAAAAGTACGGACGAGCCGGACGACGAGTGCAGAGTAAGGACTAAATACGGACGCTAAATCTAATACGGACAAGGGGGTCGAAAATACAAACTGTCCGTACCAAATACGGACGTCTGGTGACCCTAGCTTAAGGCACTGTTATGAACCTCTGACCTTGAAATCTTCACAAACATCTCTTCTCTTGAATATATTACGCCTCTGGTAGACTGCTTCCATTTTCGGCTGCTTCCTAACAAGCTGGCTGCTTCCTATTCAGCGTATTTGGTACTGAGATTATTCTCGTAGCTTTTGCGATATGCTTTGTATTTTGTTTCGTATATTTGGGTATAAGAAATGGCGTTGTTTATGCTGTTATGTTTTAGCCGGAGCAGAAGTGTTGGCGTAGTTAGTAATGGTGTGTTGTTAATGGGGTTCTTTATTTAATAAAGAGACGTTTGCTACACGAATCATTGTAAAATAATTAACAAAATAAATTTATATTACATATAATTCTCTATTTTTGAAAGAAAGTATGTTTCAATAGTTAGTTCAATAGAGCGCAAAATATAATTACCGATAACTACGCCAAATGAATTTTTAAGTGGTATACTTATGTAAATGCAGCCACGTTGTGTCATTGAGTTTCCTAATAATTGGTAAACATATATATTGTTTTGTAAAAATGCATTTGATTTGTTCTTATTTTGAATGTGTGAAAAGTGAATGCTGTTTGGCTATGAAGTTTCACTGCACTGATTGACTTAAACGGAATTTTCTTATTAATTAAAAGTATTTTTAAAAGTTAAGTTTTTATTACTTTATAAATTTGATAAAAGTAGATTTTTCGAATTAAAACATTGGTAAAAACTTGTTAAATGCCAAAAAATACAAAGCTAAAATTTGGTGTGTTTTATTAACAATTTAATAAACTTCACCTCTTGACAACTCCATGAGCAGTTGCATCCGGAACAATGATAAATGCTTCACTGTGCCTCGGTGTAACACAGTCCAATATCAACAATCATTCTTCCCACGAACAATAATTGCTTGGTACCAACTGGACAATGCCGCCGTGGACTCGACATCACTCGAGAGTTTCAAGCCTGCCCTGGCACCCGCTAGGAGCCGTTAGGACAGCCGCATCGTTTATCAAACCAGTACATGGATGCAGCAACGTAGTCTATCAGAATCAGAATTTAATTTTGCAACATTAACGACGCACTAAAAATTGCACTAAAAAGAACAAATGTTTGGGTTTTCCCGATAAAAATGATTTAATCAAAATAATTCTTAGATCACAATTTAATAATAAATAAAAGTGTATTTGAAAATCACGCTTCGTCCCCAAAGGCTTGAAGCGTGGTACAAAGTCCACCATATTAAAAGAGAAATGAAAACATCTATATTTTACCACATAGAAATACAAAACGCAACATTACAAAAACTGCATACGAGCAAACCCAAAGTCTTTCATCCCTTGCAACCATGAACGACACAGGCCAATATACATCTAGGAGATAATAGCTAGCTGGAAAAGATGATAGACAAAATCACCCCAGCAGGTTTTTGCAAAATAGATGTGTTTTCAAATGGGTGTTGAAAGACTCCAGTGTCTGGCTGGTTCTGAGAGTGACTGGAAGGGTGTTCCAAATTGTTGGGCCAGCAAATGCGAAAGTGCGCCTTCCGTAAGTTGCAAGGCGAATACGTTGTATCGAGAGCTTGCCACTATCGGATAAGTGGAGTTGTCTAGTGGATACATAAGGCATCATGGGCGCTTTGAGATGGGACGGTGCCAGGTTATGCAAGCCGCGGTAGCACAGAGTTGCAATCTTGTACTCTATGCGAGCGCGGACCGGCAACCAATGCAACTCTCTCAGAAGTCTTTTGGTATGGTCGAATTTGCGTTGAACAATGCGAGCCCGATTAGTCTGTGTTTTTTTTATTTTATCCAGGAGCGTTGCTGGAAGACCCACCATGAGAGCATTGCAGTAGTCCATGCGTGATAGCACGAATGCAGACCTCAGCCTCTTTGATGCATCAAACGTTAAGAAAGGTCTGATATGACTAATTCTGCGCAGCTCTTGAAAAATCGCCTTGCAAAGCATGTTTATTTGATTTTCCATAGATAGCGTTCTGTCTAAGTAAACACCCAGTTTTCGCACTGTTTGAACAAACTCAATCCGTATACCTGAGAGAGTAAGGGATGGTGTGTTGTTTACAGATTTTAGCTTTTGAGCGGTAGCAATGGGGATCAGCTCGGTCTTTTCATCGTTCAATTTGAGCTTGTTTATAGTCATTCAGTGCTTAACTGACTCCACTGCCTTCTGTGACATAATAAGAAGCTGAGGGAACTGAGAGGGGATCACGGATTGCTGAAGTTGGGTATCATCGGCGAACATGTGATATAACATATTAAACTGCTTGATCACTGCATACAGGGGCTGAACGTACATAGTGAAGAGCACCGAGCCTAGAACCGAGCCTTTGGGTACTCCGAATTCGATAATAGATTGCTTCGAGGTCAAGCCGTTTGCGATAAATGATTGGACCCAATTTGTCAGATACGAGAAGAACCATCTCAGGACGGTATCGGTGAAACCTAACGTTTTTGCAGACGTTGGAGAAGTATGCCGTGGTCAAGCGTATCGAACTCTGGCGATAGATCAAGTAACGATAAAAGGGATACCTTGCCCTCACCACAAGATGACAGAAGATCATTTACAACTCAGTAGAGTGATGCGCCCTGTACAGACTGGAAAGGCTCAAACAAGTCACACTGTGAGTGAGGTGGTTCAGGAGCTGGCGGAGAACGACTTTCTCTAAAATTTTGGATACAAATGGTAGAGTAGATACGGGGCGATAATTTTCCAACACATTTGGGTCGAGATTAGCTTTCTTTAGCAGTGGAGTTACAACCGCATCTTTAAAAGAGGATGGAACAGTACCAGTTTTCAAAGACTGATCTATGATACTATAGTTATGATAGGAACTATTTCATCCAAACATTCGTTCAACAGCCCTGCCGGAAGAGGGTCATGAAAACATGACTTTTTCGGGGAGTCAACCAGGATTTTCTTCACATGCGATTCAGTGACGTCCAAAAATTCGCTCATAGGAGTGCCGTCAAACGGCAAGATTTCGGGAGCATCGGTGCAAATGTCAAGTCTCGCCCTAATCTTCGTAGCTTTCGTAATAAAGAACTCATTTAGAGCGTCTGGCAGCTCGCCTACGGCAATGTTATTTGGCAAAGATGTGTCCTTCTGTTTTCCGGTCAGCTGACCCACAATACAAAATAAGCCCCTAGTTGAGCTACAATCTACAATATGGTGACTGACATATTCAGTCCTAGCTGCAAGGACCAACTTCTTAGTTTGTTCCTTGTCATCAACAAAGATTTGTCGGTTCACGGTCAAGCCAGGCTTCCGCCATTTGCGCTCTGCACGTCGCTGCTTCTGCTTCGCGACCTTAATTTCGGGCGTGAGCCATGGGGCGGAAGGGCGGTCCGTAACGTGCGGTATGGACGGTGGTGTATGTTTGCCTAAAATAACTCCGAGGCCACTGTTGTAGTCAGTCGCTGGATCTTCTTCACTGCACCCGAGAACTGTGACGTCACATCTGAAGGCCACTAGATCTATCTTTTGGAGGTCACGGGATGTGACAGTGTGTTGTTGACGAAAAAATCATATATTTTTCATATTCCAATAAATGCTTTAAATAATTATTTAAATTGTATTTTAATGTAATTGTAATTTATAATAATAATTCTTGAATATGCCGTATGCTAAAATAAATTCTGATATATTTTATTTATCACAGTTAAATTTCTTCGATTTTCGTTTAAAAAAAAAAGATTATTATTTTTAAGATTCTGAAGGTATATAAATATCTTCGTTTCTTTTAGCGTTACATGGTCAGCGTAGCTCGGGGTCGGCAAATCGCGGCTAGCGAGCATGCGGCTCTCTAACGACCTGAGTGCGGCTCAGCCAGATAGCCACAAATCTGTTTTGACTCCGAAAACATGGATCTTGACAGGTTCTTGACAAGAAATTTGGCTCTCAAAAATTTGAATCGTCCTGTTGCTGATTTTTGGCTCTTTTGACTAATGAGTTTACCGACCACTGGCCGAGCTCATTCTTATATGTTAGATTACTCTACTACATGTAGCGCTGCATTCCCCATTTGCGGACATACTGATCTCAACTGTCGGTATTGTTGGTAGTTTTATGGTTTCCATCTTGTAGGGATGTAGTCTACCTCCTTGTTCCCAAGGTGCTTGCTCATAGTCCTAGATGGATATTGGCTTGTTTTGTCCATTGCCTTGTATGTAGATTTTGTGTTGATGCATTTTGTATTTTACTGCGCTTCGAGCCTTAATTAAGGATGAAGCGTGTTTTTTTTAATGAACTTTATTATTATTATTGTTATTGTCAAGCCTGTATCATTCTTTTTTTCTTATTTTACCAGCCAAATATCTAATCTATAACTATTAAATGAATAGTTCAAATCTAATCTACAACTATTGAATGTAAAGTTCAACTCTTATCTAAAAATACTAAATGTGTAGTTCAAATCTAATCTACAACTACTGAATGTGTAGTTCAAATCTAATCATGTATTCCAACGTTAAAATTTATTGTATTATTTTTTTTTATATTCCAGATGAAGTTACTCGCGGTTGCCGTCCTTATTCTGGGAGCAGTTGTCACTCTCGAGGCAAATCCAGAACCACAGCTTTTGAGTGGTCTTTTAGGTGGTCTTTTGGGTGGCTCAACTAAAATCGGCACCAGTAGTAATGGAGGTGACCTTCTTGGTGGCCTGCTGGGCCCTAGTGGGATCCTGGGTGGCCTTCTTGGTGGAGCAAATAGTCCTTTGAAACTTTTACTAGATCCTAAATCTGGCCTTCTGGCTGGTCTTCTTGGAGGTCCGAATGGGAATCTTTTGAAGGGTTTGTTCGATGGTAAAAATGGCGTTGTCGGTGCAGTGACTGGTGTTATCAACCAAGTGCTTTGTCTTCTAGAAAACCACGGTCTTGGAATTGTCTTGCAACTTTTGAAACTTGTGCCGCTAGATTCAATTTTAGGACTTAACCAGGTTTGCCAAGCTGATGGTGGAAATGACCTTCTCTCTCTGCTTTTCAAAAATGTCCTCTCTCTACCCTTAGTCAATAACATCGTATGTCTCACTAATTCTTTGGGCTTACAACCAGTTCTCCAGTTAGTTGAAAACATTGGAATGGGCAAACTTATTGGACTTTCAAAAATCAGTTGTTCTGGTGTCCCCCTCATTTCACCAAATTCTACTGCTTCGAACATTCTTTCTCAATTACTAGGATCCCTGGATGTTAAAATCATACTCTCATCGAGTGTGGGTGCTCTTGCGAATTTGGCTACAGAACTTGACTTGGCAAATGTATTGGATGTTCAAAAATTTGTTCCTCAACTGTTATGCCTTCTTCAAAATGGGCTAAAACTCGATGGTGTAGTTAAATTGATCCAAAAGTTGGGTGTAGATGTACTTCTTAACATTACCAATACCAACTGCAAGGACGGTAAACCTCTCTTTAGCGATTTGATTAAGGCGAGTGGGCTCTCCCTAGAAAAGCTTTTGGGTCAGTTAGGATGTCTGTTGAATGTTGCTGGTCTGGGCCCCGTAGAACAGCTTTTGGGGGAACTTAAGCTATCGGTTCTGGGGGCACTCAACTCAATGTGTAGCGCCCGAGGTGTTGACGGACTACTCGGCTCCCTCCTCCAGGGTGGCCTGGGGGCACTCAAGCCTTTGATTTGTTTGTTGAAATCACTCCCGGTTGTCGGTGATGTCGTGAAACTGGTCGAAAAACTTGGCCTTGAAAAACTTCTCTTGGTAGGTAACTTGACTTGTGAGAGCGGGTCTTCGGCCCTTGATTTATCTTCTGTTCTTGACGTCGTCACCAACCTTGCCTCTTCATTAAATCTAGACGTTCTTGCTGGTCTAAATTTGACGAACATCCTCGATTTGAAACTCATCCTTGACCCATTGAATGGCGTGCTTGATTTGCCAGGTCTACTGAATTCAGTCGCTTGTCTGGTCGAACATCTTGGCTTGAAAGTCGTCATAGATTTTTTGAAACAAGTCGGCGTCACAAAGGCGATTGGTTTAAATGTTGAACTTTGCACCGCGGTCAATGGAACATCCGGCAGTGGCGTTCTTTCTGTTCTTTTGAACGGTCTCGGAGAGAATCTGTTATTTGATCTGTTTAACACACTCGGTGTCTCCCAACTTCTTCAGCTGGCCGATTTCATCATACAAGATGGCAAGTTACTTGGCCTTGATCTTCTCGACAACCTCCTGTGTATCGTGGCGTCTGCTGGATTACAGCCCGTCATCGACCTGTTGAAAAAAGTTGGTCTGGACAAACTACTGGGTATCTTGGATTTCTTCTGCCTAAATGGAAAACCCATCAGACTTAATCATACACTGGACATCTTTGCCGAGGCTATTATTAGATGCGAGGCTACAGACAGTGTTGAATGCACTTCGTAAGTCTCATAAAACATTAGATATATCGACTCACCCGACCTCAGATATTCCCGTTTTCGTATTACCCCTAGCAAAAATAAACCGCAATTGTATTTAGTAATATAAAAAAAAAATTTGTATAACACAGCCAGGTCAAGCAGTACCATCGCTTGACTTTTCAAGACCCCCTGCCACTTTTCGGTCTTTTCCTTCCTCCACCTTACCTGCAAAGTTTAAAATTAACAAAGTGTCCACATCTCAACTTTAAGCCCCAAAACTATCCGAGGCCCCTTGCATCTGTAACCAGCGTCTCTCCCGTTGATATCCGATTAAGTGTAGAATGGTACAAAACTAATTTCAGGTAGGTGCTAAAATGCATTCTTGCATTTTGAAGTTATCAAAACATTGGGGGGGGGGGCTGTAAAGATTAAAGGGGCGAGAATAAGCTACGGCTAACAGCATGCTCTCAAGGGTGCCACAAATGGAATGAATTGATTTTATGTTTGGCTGGAGTGGAGTTATAGATTTCCCTGATATTTGCTATGGCTAATTGTGGCGCCACACACGCGAATGTCTGAAAGGGCCCCTCTCAAACAGTCTAAAAGAAACACCAAATCCATGTATGCGTCAAAATGCATCCTCGCATTTTTAATTGATCACAAATTTTCTAAAGGAACATCACGCCCCGTTTTTTGATCCAGAGTCTTCTGCACCCTAAATTTCTGTTCACCCCTTTCCCTCGCGCCGATCATTGTGACAGCACGGCGTTAAATCTAAGCTGGTGCCAAATTATTACCCTGGGGCGTGCTACAACCAGAGTGAATTCAGTTTATGTATGGCCCTGGGCGCCACTATTCCCTCCCCTGACGTTTGAAAAATTTATTACCCCGACCAAACAGTCTAATAGTACCAATGGCAATACTGAATTCAAGTATATTCCAAAATATATCTCTTGATTTTGAGATATTAACACTTCTGGGGAGAGGCTCCCCACTTCACTCAAGAGCCATCGGTGCCCTCAAGTTCTGCCCTACTCGCCGAAAACAATGAAAATACAACTGGCGCTGGTCAGCAATTTTGCTGCTTATAGATACACTGCCTAGTGGAGTAGCTAGTATTAAATCCACCCTGGGCGGGCCAAGATTTATGCCGTTCTCCCTTTAATAATAAAAGCTTGGCACTTTTCATAAAATGCCCCCATTCTATATAAATAATAAGTGACTGCTGGGTGGACCACCCCATATGCCCCCTTGCAGAGGCGTAGCTAGAATGTTTGATACCAAGAGACAAGATTCATTTTTACGCCACCCCCCCCCCTAAACTCTGTAACCCATTATTTTCATCCAATAAATACCATCACACCCCATTTTTGCGCCCCGCTAATCTGGCAAAAAGAGACATCTGTCCCCTTCTTTCCCTATTAGCTACGCCTCTGGCCACTGGTACTGCCCACCTGAATTTTTTTTTTTTTTTTACTTGTATCTTAAGCTTTTTTTTTTAATATTAACTCTCCTTACTTTCTGACTTCAGATAAAATAAGAAATTAATATATTTAAAATGTACTACCAATAATCGATAGCCCGCCTCAGATTCATAGTGTCACAAACCGCATCACAAAATAACGAATTTTTTTTTTTTTTTTTACTTGTATCTTAAGCTTTTTTTTTTAATATGAACTCTCCTTACTTTCTGACTTCAGATAAAATAAGAAATTAATATATTTAAAATGTACTACCAATAATCGATAGCCCGCCTCAGATTCATAGTGTCACAAACCGCATCACAAAATAACGATATCTGGCCACAAAGCATACTTATGTTTCGACCATAACAAATCGCTACAGACTTCGTCTACAAGAGTAACAGTCATCAAACCTGGTGCATAAACCAAATAAAACTTGCGACATGTTTACAGTCCGCCATCTTAAACGGAAGGCTACACACATTAATTTTATCATAAAAGTTGTTTCAAGTTGTCAGAAAATAACAGACAAGTACTGGAACGGAATGACCCTTCACCTTAGGTTCGATCTTTGTGATTTCGGACAAGTAAAACCAATGTAATGGAAATAACGGAAATCGTTCATCATTCAGTAGTGGATTCCACATCTGTCTCAAGGATACGATTTATCTATCAACGATGATGCAACCGATACAAACTGCACAATGATCAGGACTGATTATTTGCATAGCGCTTGTGTCCTTGTCACCTAGTGTTGTGTACATAGAAGCGTATCAGGATTATTGTTGCAAAGACTCAAAACGATTTATCGTATCTTGCTATTCTAGCAAGATTATATGACGATGTGGCTGGTTGACTGTGAGCGTTCTACATAGATTCTATAACAATGTGGCTTGTTGTCTGTGAGCGTCCTAGATATATTCTATAACGATGTGACTGGTTGGCTGTGAACATTCTACATAGATTATAGAAGGATGTGGCTTGTTGTCTGTGAGCGTCCTAGATATATTCTATAACGATGTGACTGGTTGGCTGTGAACATTCTACATAGATTCTAGAAGGATGTGGCTTGTTGTCTGTGAGCGTCCTAGATATATTCTATAAGGATGTGGCTTGTTGGCTGTGAGCGTCCCATATTCTATAACGATGTAATTAAATTGGCTGTGAGCATCCCATATTCTATAACGATGTAATTAAATTGGCTGTGAGCATCCCATATTCTATAACGATGTGGCTGGTTGGTTGTGCGGTTAAAAAAAAAAGGAGTGAATACCAAACTAGTGGATTGGAGTTCTATCCCCAGCAAAAGCCAGACAAGTTAAAACAACACCAACACCCCGGGCTGATGGTGTCGAGTGTGGTCATTCCCTAGTGATTGTTGCGCACCGAATATTGTTGTTTTATTGTGCGCGGTAAGTCTTGACAGCTTAATTACTGAACGCTTTTACCCGCCATTGAGTTGGTGACGGCAATTTATTGTAATTATGCCGTAGTGTCTAGACCAGTGTTTCCCAACGTGGGGGCCACCCCGCAGGGGCGCAATTTGATTGTAAAGGGGAGGGGGACAATGCGAAAATGGGCTGTTTAGAATTTGACAACCAATCGTCTACTTTGAAATAACTTGTACTTTAAAAGGAGAATCGTTAGAGTCTCAATATCAAAGCATCGTTCGTTAAAATTGTTGTACAAATCCATTGATTTTCAACATAGTCAATGATCTCAGTTGGCAAAAAAAAATAAAAAAAATTAGAAGTAGAACGAGTGCGTTTTCTGTTGTCGATATTTGAATAAGCTTTTATTAAATATAAAAAAGATTAAGTGTAGATACAAAATAAGTGGTAAGTATTTATTTTTTAATGAATTTTTTAAACAAAAATATTTTTGTGTTCTTATTTTCCTTTTCTTGGTAGTTTTCTTTCAGCCTCACACTCCGAGAAGTGCGAGCAAAACAAAATCAGCATTCGGAGGGAAATTTTAAGTTTGGATTCAGACCCAATGTCCACGAGGAACGGGTCACATTTGTCTCTTTTCTGCCAACAATGCTTGACCAACGAATCAATGAAACGAGGTCATCTTGAGGCGCATTAGCAGGCCAAACATGGGGCTCATATTACCGGTTGTTCCGATTTAATTTAATTTCAAACTTTAATGAAAATGCCAATCTTAAAGTCTCTAGTTACTGTTCAAGCCGCAACAGCCAATTTTACTCTTGAGTCTAGAAATGAAATCACTCTGCTAATTGCTAAATATGTACAAAATCACACTATAGAAGAGAATTTAATCAAACCATCAATATTAACATTTCTTTAAAAAGTTCTGGGAAAAAGATGACAAAGATATGAAAGCTATGCCACTCAGTAACATTACCGTTAGCAGAAGTATATACGAAATGAGTGAAGATATTAAAATAAACTTGTTGAAAAGCTGAAAAAAACATTATCAGTGCAAATGGATGAATCAGCTTTGAGAGACAATGAGGCTGTATTGGTGACTTACTTCAGATATTTTGATAAAGGGTATTTTACTGAAGAAATCTTGTTCTGTAAATCAATAGAAAGCACCTCTACTACCATATATAAATGTACAGCTAAAATTACTTAGATATCAATAATATACCAATTATAAATATAGTGTCTGGTGATGCAGATGATGCTCCTGATATGATAGGGAAGAAAAATGGCTGCTTGAAATTGATGAAGGACGAGAATCCAGAAATGCTTCTAATGCATTGTGTTTTTCGTAGGGGAAACCTGGAAGATAAAAAAAAATATTTCGCCTCTTCTAAATAAATTACTAAATTCAGTTCTAAAGTGTATCCATGCTATTAAAGCTAATGCCAAATGTGAGTGTCTCTTCAAGTTATTTTGTAAAGAACAAAATGCAGACTATGTGAGACTTTTGAGTTCACTCTGAAGTAATGTGGCTCTCGAAAGGAAACTGCTTGAAAAGATTTATGGAACCATTTGATACTCCTGGTGACTTTTTAAGTGAGAAACCTGAAATGAAGTATTGTTAATAGTTGATGGTAAAGCATTTGTGAGTTATTTAGCCGATATCTTGGAAAAACTAAATATATTAAAGAACCAACTTCAACGAGCGAAAGCACAGATATTTTGTTTAATTACATTTGTTGAATTATGTCAGAAATGACTTTGTGACCAAAATTTTGAAAAGTTTCATTGGCTCAAAAAATGTAAAGTGGTTGATACCGCTTTACTTGTTATTGTGGATAATCTAAACATTTTGTCAGCTGATTTAAAAGAAAGATTTTGTGATTTTAAACAAATTTGTTTTCCATCTTGGATGATGCAGCCAATATTAGTGGATTTGTCTGATATTTCAAATATGCAGTATCAAGAAGAACGCGCAGAAATGACAAATGATGAGTCTGTTAAAACTTTATTTAATATCAAAGGAGCGATGGCATGGCTTTGTCAGAAAACGGAAATCAAATATCCCAATTCGACCAAATGTGCAAGACAGCTGATGTTACAGTTTCCATCTTCACGTTTAGCTGAATGTGGATTATTGATCTCATAGTGAATTTGTGATCTCATATTTT